TTGTGTTGACATGTGTTGTCATTGAATTGTTTTGAAAAGTTTTTGGTCACAAAGAAGTGGAGGATTGAGATAATGGCCGAAGAGGTGGACGAAGACAATGGCATCTCATTTGTGACGGCAATTGAGAGACGATATGTGGAGACGTGTCTTATCGACAAAGAAGTACTGACTTTACCGCAAATGTATGGCAACGACCGCACCATTGAATTGATTGGTTTGGAGAAGCGTTTGAATGCATTGATTGAAGCGGACGTCTCAAGAATGAACATCACTTGCTGTGGAAGTGATTGCCATTCACTCATACAGGCCTTGAGACACACAAAGACTCTCATTTTGTCCAACAATCTGCTCACCGATTGGCCAGAAGTGGCCAAAATTGTGGCAAATATTGAGTGTTTAACTGATTTAGTCTTAAGTTATAATAAATTAAAAGTACCGAAGAGTGAAGAACTGGATTTGCACTCATTTAAGGCCATTAAGACACTAGTCATTGATAATATGGATTACGACTGGAATGACATCTTATGGTGCGCTCAGATGTGGCCAAATATCGAGAGACTTGACGTTTGGGGCAATCGTGTGACTGAACTGAAGAGTCCGCATGTGTTCACACAACTCATTCATCTGAGTCTTTGCAATAACAGTATCGAGGAATGGCATCACGTCTGTGGCCAAACATCGAGAGACTTGACGTTTGGGGCAATCGTGTGACTGAACTGAAGAGTCCGCATGTGTTCACACAACTCATTCATCTGAGTCTTTGCAATAACAGTATCGAGGAATGGCATCACGTCTGTCGACTCGCAACTCTTCCCAAGTATTGATCATATTTTTATTTTATGTTTTTTGCGTTAAATTTTGTCTGCTTTTAATTTCAGTTTAAAGACTCTAAACGTTTCCGATTGTAAACTAAATTCAATACATTTCGACGATTCGGATGCGAAACAGAAGACCAAACTATTCCCTCGATTGGAGTTCCTATCGATTGGTAATAATAATCTGAAGACATGGAGAGATGTCTCAGAACTGAATAAACTCCAAAAACTGGATCAGCTCTTCATTAAGAATAATCCGGTGTTTGATAACGAAAAATATGATACAAATTTCAATTCTATATTATCTCGAATCGCAAACTTGAAACTTCTTAATCGTGAAAATGTAATCAATATTTCATTTCATTTAATCGCTTAAAGAATTCATTGTTAAAATATGTTGTGTTTTAAAGATATCAGAAATGATGAGAAGAGACGCAGAAATTGCATATTTGAGAAAAACAAATAAAATCTATGAAACGGCTAAGAGTTTGGGAGACGAGAAATTGCATGAATTTATTAATGAAAATCCCACATTTGAGAGCATTTTATTAAAGTTTGGCAAACCTTTTGGTTCGGAAAGCATTTCCAAAGCAGAGATTGAGAAAAAGAAGTTCTTAAGTAAGTGATCATCAGTTAGTTATGTATTGAGTTTTGCATTAGTAATAATAGATATGAAATGAATGCTTACAGCCATTAAACTAAGGAATCCTTTCGATAATGAGAAGTGTGTGGAGAAGAAAATACCCGGTATTTAATGAATTGTCTTTATTCGTGTTAATTATACATTTCAATCAATTATAGCCTCGATTTCAATCATAAATTTGAAAACAATTGTTCGGAAACTCTTTGAAATTGATTACAATTATGACATCAACTTATTGTGGACTTCAAAGGTTTGAAAATAAAAAATAACAAAAAAAATACTTCATTTTGAAAAATAATGGAAATTAAAATATTTTACAGGATTTTGAGTGTCCTTTGGATAAGGAATCGCAAAATTTAAACTTCTATTCCATTGAAAATGGAGACACGATTTTAGTCAATATTCAATAATTGCTTAATTTATAAATTAATTTATATACAGATTGTAATACTAATATTTTATATGTTTAAATAATGTGAAAATAAAATTACTTTCTTACTTAAAATTTGTAGTCAAATTCATAATAATAATAGTGTTTGAAAACTGCATATTCGGTGATATAAAATGATAAAATCAAATGTTATAATATGTGAATTAATCTAACGCTTTGGCACTGCCTGTAGTTTATGCATACATTTTGACACTTTGTGAGCATTTAATAAAATTGTATTTTCGTTTTGAATGCCAAACGGTTTACCCGGAAATCTGTTAATAGTCTGTATAGAAAAAACTTATGTCTAATGTATAGTAAGGCAGCAAAAGATTAATAAAGATAATAAAAATACTAAAATGTACTATTCGTTCGTTAATTGGACTGCAATTTACTTCTAAATTGTAATTAAAGTTTGTTTTTTATCACTTCTTGTTCAGCGCTTTCGTTGGCCACCTGTTCTCTGATGGACTCTTCCAGAGCCACAGGTATTAACAGTTCTTTAGGAAGACATCGTTCCAGGAATGGCACACAAGTGCTTATATACGCCAATCGATTGATCCACGAAGGGATCGATTTGCCGCATAAATACTGTCAATACATCAACACTTTCAGCACATTGTCTAATGTCTTCAATAACCATACAATACCTTAACTAATGCTTCGGTAAAATGATTGCAATTCCTGTGCAAAAGATGGTATTTATCTCCTTTGTATTCTTTGCCCATTTCTTCAATTATCTCTGTTATATCGTCGCGACTAAAGTCAGTGTAACCGATGACCACTGACTCTCTATTATCAAAATAAACACCCGTTTTGTTAGCATTAAACGTATCGTAAAAGCTATGCAAACGTATGAGTACTTGAATTTGAAGTTGTCTTCTCCCAGCGAATCCACGTCTTTGGGCTCAATCTCGAAGATTCCCGAAAGACTGAAAGGGTGTCCGCCGTAACCAAACTCTGGCAATAGATAAACATATTGTTAAATAAGTTAAACATATTGTTAACCCATATGTGAGTGAATACCCGTGTCGTAGACGTGAACCCCCGAGTGGTAGATCCCGATCCCCAGAGAGGATGAGTACTGGTTTATCGATGCCTTCAATCAAACAAATGATGCGTTAATTTAAAAGAGTCAACAAATGGTGTAAACAATGTGTGAATGACTACCATATCGTAAACGTTGACCACAACTGCCTGTCGGGCCATCATTTCAAACACCGTTTACTAATTCAACGATCAATTCATAAAAAGCGGTCAAATATGTCATCAAAGGTGGGCT